CACATAGCTGATGCAGCTTCTCGAAGAAGCACGGGCGGATATTTGAGTGCGGCATCATTCACTGTCTTTCTCTCACAGGTTTCTCACTTTACAATATACTCACCTCTGAATACTTTTCTTTAAATCTCAATAAGTGTTATAGGAAATTTCATCAATGCAAATTCCGAAATTGCTCTTCCTAATCACCACAGTTACAGGAGCATTCAGTGGACAATGCAGTGAGGGCGGGTCGGCCCGCAAAGATGATCATTTCGCCGTTGCAATTGATTTTGGTTGGGGAGAATCACCTCTTCCATTCTGATTCTAGGCAGTGCGTTGCTATGGCTTGCCAAAATTGGATCCTTCTGCTGTGATTCCATCTCCCGCAAGGTGCTCAGCATGTAGATGTTCAGTGGATGGCCGCACAGCTCTGCTCGTCTATTATCTTTTCTCCTTTGTCAAATGGATGGTTAACTTCGGGGTGAGATGTCAACGGTGGTAATAATGGAATGGTCATTCACCAGGAACTACTTACCTACCTTACTTTTGTTTGCGACATTTGAAACGTAGGGTTTATTTATGGTGCAGAACATCAACAGATACCTGTATCCGCATGTGTGATGTAATTCATATGATGCTGGGAGTGGATACGGACAGTATCTGTAGGAGGAACAAACCAGAAGATATATAAGCCCTGACGAATGGTGCCCCTACCCATCACCAATGCCCACCATGCCTACTACTGCGAATTTGAAGAATGTTATTGAATACAGCATCCTGGCCACTACTACTGCCAAGAACATTGCGGAAATGGCCAAAGTGCCTGTCCTTGGCTCAACTGCCACATTGTGCTTGTCAATTACAAAGTGTATTGAGGTAAGCTGATTTTTCCAGCCAATGACACCAAATTTAACTGGAAAAAAAAAAGACAACCAAATTGAACAAGGAAGAATGTGTGGAGATTTTGGAGCAGATTCATGAAATCCTGTGCATCATTGTCCAGCTCCATTCGACTTCAGAGATCAAGGGTGTTGTTCCAACAGCACTCTTATATGACATTGCAAAATTCACAGAGTGAGTACCATTTGCTGATGATATTGTATTCATCTAAGATTTTACACCAGGGCACTTCAAAAATTGTTCACAGTCCTCAATGTGCAACAAAAGGGAACTCTGGCAAAAATAAAGGGAATTTTCAGACAGCCTGAGGCTGGAGAAAGATTGGAATCATGCAAGCAGGAGCTCAGCAGGATGGTTGCATTGTTCAAGGTATATCAGATGAATTTATTTCAATGCATATTCAAATCTTTGGCATTCATTGCAGGCTCAGGTTACAGGTTCAACCTTGTCTCAAATGGGGAAAATGAAGAAGGATGCAAAAAGAGCAACATGAACAGTTTGTTGCCCTTTTAAGGACTGACTCTGATCTCACTAGTTGTGATCGTTCCTCAGTGAGTAGGCATTGTGATTGTCATTTTTTGGCTCACAGTTGTTAGGTGGGTGAATCTCTGGCACACTTAGGGAATAATAGGTGAGCCAAACCTGCAACCACAATCAATTTTACTGAAGTTCTTGAGCAGCTCCAGATCTTTTAGTCTGCTTCCACCCTCCCCACAGATTTTCCATGGCTGTGAAAAAGAGCTGCAGGATGTGGTGAACATCCTATTGCAAGATTCTGCCTGCATTGCTATCCTTGGTACAGGGGGGATGGGAAAAACCAGTCTTGCCACAGCAGCCCTCCATAATCCAGAAGTGGAAGCCAAGTATTCACATTGATACTTCATTCCATGCCACTCAAGTCCCACTTGCACTGAGCTGGCATCAACCATCGCAGATCATATTGGGCTGGAGAAGGGATCAAACATGGCAAAGAAGATTGCGCATCATTTTTCCCATTCTCCTCCTTCCCTTCTGGTCCTTGACAATCTGGAGACCCCTTGGGAAACTCGTTCAGCTCGCACTGAAGCTGAAGAGTTCCTATCTCTCTTGACTGATGTTCCCCACTTGGGTCTCATGGTGAGTGATGTATTGGGCATCTATCCAATGATATGTTGAACCTCCTGTAGATCACCCTGAGAGGTGCTGAGCGACAGAGCAAAGTCAAATGGACCTGCCCCTTCCTGGCCCCCCTAAAGGCGCTTTCTAATATGGCTGCTCAGCAAACCTTCATTGAGGTTGCTGATGATATCCAAGATGATGCAAGTGTCAAAGAACTTCTTGAACTGACTGGGAATCTTCCACTGGCGGTCAGCTTGATTGCAAGTGTTGCTGGTTCCGAAGGATGTGCACAGGCACTTTCTCGTTGGAAAGCGGAGAGTACTAGGATGCTTTCAGATGGCTATGACCAGAGATCTAGCCTGGACATATCCATCATGTTGTCATACACCAGTTCCCGGATGACCCCAGGTGCCCAGGAGTTTCTCAGCATTCTTTCCATGCTACCAGCTGGGCTTGCAGATGCTGATTTGGTGCAGGCCAAACTGCCAATCCCTGATATTCTGTCTTGCAAGGCTACTGTGATTAAAAGAGCCCTTGCCTTTGTTGGCCAGGATCAGCGCCTGAGGTACTGGTTCCAATTCGAGAACACATCCTCCATGTCCATCCTCCAGCAAGTGCCCTAAAGCTAAAGTTACGAGAAAATTTCCATCAAATTCTTCATTTCTGGAATGAATTCAGGAATTTCAATGTAGCAGATCTACACCCTCAAGTTTCCTGAAATTTGGGCAACTTCAACACCGTTCTCCATGATGGGCTTGAATCAAGAGGCGTTGATATTGTCCAGATTTTTGATAGTATTCTGTGTCTCAATCAATTCTCTTGTCAGGTTCAAGGCCCATCTTCACCCCTACTCATCCAGCTTTCTGGGCAAATGCCTCATTGGAAAGACCATCCAATTTTTGGGGAATATCTTATTCAGCTATTGGAAAGTTCACACTATTTTCTCAACCTGGATATCAACATCAACATCACCCTTGGGACTTAGTATTTCAAATCAAAAGATACATTGGAACAGGGTACAACACAATCACTGTCATTGTGTTCACCTACTGACTTTTCACTAGCCCGATGGTACCGTGCTCTGGGACTGTGCTTCTGGGGGGCAAAATCAGATTTAGCAGCAGCCCTCAAGTATCTTCAAACATCCTATTCTTTGGTAGAAAGTATTGGATACCCCACCCTGGCTGGTGAAAAGGCTTTGATAGGCCTCCCTTGCATTCTGAATATTCTCGGAAAGCCCTTGAGTGCACTCATGCATATCAAGGAGGGATACAGATATGCTGAGCACATAGGGGACATCTATGGACAAGCATGGTGTCTTTTTAGTGAAGGCAGATGTTATGAAAAATTGGGAAACTATCAGCATGATCTAATTTGTCTTCAACAATCCAGGGACATGTTGACTGCTTGTGGTCTACAAGAAAGTGAATTGGGGCTTATCCTCCTCAATCATCAGGCTGAAATCCACCTCCAGAAATCGGAGTATCTGGAATCTCGGAAACTTCAAGTTGCCATTGCATCCAGCTGCCAGCCAACTTCATATCATGCCATCCTGGCAAACTTGAACATTGCTTTCATTGATATTATCACTGGTGTCGACTCAAAAATCATTTGTCGAAATCTGGACATGGCTCAGTCACATTTGAAGACATAACATGAGTATGAGGCCAGATATATGTATATTGTGGCTGAGATTGCTGCTGCCAAAGTCTGCCTTCGAGATGGGTCTCCTGAGACTGCAAATGCAAAGTTTGAAAAATGCTTTGCATTGTCATTGTCATTGTCTGACGCAAATATGGCCCTCATGTGTGCCGAAAGGCTTGGGGACCTTTCCACTGGCATGAATGGCATTCCCACTACACTCCGATGGGGAGGAGTATTCCTTAGCCTGGCTCTGAAGTCCAAGGACAACCGCCAGACAATGCAAGCCTTCAGCTTGTTCAATGTTGCTCTTGATGGATTCACTTTTATGGATGTCCATCGTTGGAGGGCAGATTGCATGGTTCAGATGCTGGTAGACTGAGAGGTTGATGAATATGAGGAACAACTTCAACAACTATCAGAACTGAATGTACCAGTGGAGGAGATTTCCATCATTGAGGATGAGGAAGAGGACAAATTGGGTGAAAGCGGGGACAAGGGGAGGCAAGGGGTCTTAATTTGAGGTGCAGCCATTTGTTTCCAGTCCTGTGGTTTTTCCTCTTCAGCCTTTCCACAAATCCAGCCATTTTCCGGACAAATACATACCCACCTGTTAGTGATATGGAGGCCATGTCATGTCCAGGTCATAGCATTTTGTCCATTATGTAGTCTTTTATTATTTGTTCATTGTGCTACCGCACTTGATCCCAGCTTTACAGTTGACCACAGTGAGAATTGAATTATCCTCGGGCATTGATAGATTCTTATGCTGTCGTGTGGCAGAAAATAAGTTGCAGAATGGAAGTAAAGCTCAGTAGTGGGATGATCCCGTACCTTCTGCCAATGTTTTTGACTTCATCAATTCGAGGAGAAACCCCGGTTGATTCGCATTGAACCATTATAAAAGCCATTGTTTACTAGGCAAAGGGAGGAATATAATATAAAGAATTTAAGAAGTCAGCTGCGAGCAAATATCTGAGCAAAAGAAAATGGAATGAATGTGGAATCCAATTGGTTTGGCAAATCTACATGTCTAGATGAACGCACAGAACAAGCAGCGTGATTCAAGTTAAAGATTTCGATGGAGCAAAAAAAAATGCTGCGGCCAAAAAAATGGCTGGGTCGACATGATGCAGTCGAACCTCTGTCTTCCCATGTAAATAACAATAAGAGACCTTGCACACGGACAGGGGATGATCTTCCAATGATCTACCAAGGCCTATTCTTTGTAATTCGAGGTTATATAGGCACTGCGATTTCCGTGGGCTTTCTTATCTTCCCGTCAACCTTGTCAGTTACAATTGAATATGTGTGGTGAAAAGAAAACAATGCACTTGGGCTCTAGGATATTAACATTGCCGAGAGCACCTCTCAAATGTGTATGCCCTGGGGAGAGTTCGAACCTCCGCCTTCCCGTATATTCTGAACGAGCCCACTGCGTTGGGATGATCTGCCAATTGATCTACCAAGGCTTATTCTATACAGTTGGAGGTTGAATAGGTGCTGTGATTTACCTGAGAACTGCATGTTCTTCAGCCTTGTGGCCGCTGATCAAAGATACAAGCCGCTTGCACTGCTGTCGTCGTACTTGACTATATACAGTAACTAGACTTGGATGTAATGAGTAAGCCAGAAGGAAGAAGGGGCAAAAAATGGTCTTTGGGTGCCGAGCATGCCTTGAGGAGGATTCGAACCTCCGTCTTACCGTTCAAATCTATACTGTACCACCCTGCAACTAAATGGGGATGATCTACCTATTGATCTATCAAGGCTTATTCTCTGCCTTCGAGAGGTTAGATAGGTGCTGTGATTTTTATGTGCTTTCTTGTGTCAGCTATGATTGACCATGGGTGGAGAAGAAAAATGAGCAAATGAGCTTGTACCCCACTGGTTTTCCCAGTTTCTAACCATTCACTTCAATGGATTGGACGGCATGAAATTAATGTAAAATCAATGCAGCGAGAACTATATAAGGTGAGGGAAAAAAGGGCTAAACTTTCCCATGGACCCCTTACGCCTCGGGTGGGACTCGAACCCTCAGATCGGGACTGATTTCACACGAAACCGGGATGATCTAACAATGTGTTCCTGCTCTTATTCGAGGCTAGGCGTTGTAAGTGAGAAAGGAGGTTGTAAATAGACTGCCCGGACCAAAATATCAATCAGTCAGTGAGTTTGAGTTCAAGTGAAGTTTATCTGGGTCGCGCGCAGAAACAAATGTCTATTGTACAGATATGTGGTTGCTGTACAGCGAGAAAATAGTCCGTGTAATGTGTTGCGTGAAAGAAATATTTACATCCTGACTGATGCCTCGAGAGCAGTGTTGTCTGAGGCCAGGCCGAGAGTCAAAAAGGTCTGACCCATTTGACCCTTTGACCGGGGTCTGACCGGGTCTGACCCTCGGCCTGACCCTTTCTAAATTTGGAAAAGTCCTTTGTTACAGCTGTTAAGGATCGTGTGCAATGCTAGCAAGCCTTACCCGACCGTAATCCGATGTTCTGAGTGGTCAGGACGAACATCTCCTGCGTAAAGTATCAATTTTGAAAGGTAGTCAGATTTACCGGTATGGAAAACTGCTATGTGAACAACAGGGCAACCCCATATCCAAATGCACCCCGAATGGCCTGTGAAAAGATTCCTAGTGATACCGATGTCAGATCATGAATTAATATAACATGTGTATGGCTCAAAACTGCGGCGGGATGGTCAGATCAAAATCGGTCAAAGGAATCAATGTTGTCTTTGCAATGAGAAATATGGTATAATCTGGCAATGCACAATTGTACTCACACTACACGCCCAAAGGTGACTTTGAACATCCAAAGAATGATGCGGAGAGCTTCAAAGTAAGTTCAAACACGGTCATGGCCAGGGTGGGATAAATATTTTTCTGAATGGGTTCGCATTATTGGACCGCTTGGTACAATATCGACTGGTATATCCATTCTCTCGATGATCCGATTTTTCCCTGATTTTTCCGGTGGTTCTACGAGTTTAAAACGGGTATTCCAAAAAAGGAAATCCGGCCTTGACAAAACGGTCAAAGGCCGGTCAAAGGGTCTTGACGCCCGGTCAGACCCGGTCAGACCCCGTCAAAGACAACACTGTCCACACCAGGAAACACTCACAGGGAAACATGGTAGAAACTCATTCAGAATGATATAGTGTAGGGATAGTATTCATGGTGCTTCAATACACAAAAACACCTGGTAATAGACGGGCGTGTCATCGACATGCGAAAACCCCGGAAGGGTTGTGTGTGTGATGTCTCAGCAGAAGAAGTTTGTTAACACTACAAGGTTCTGAAGGAGATGAGCAATTAGATATGTAATATGAACTGAGGACGAGGGTCGGGTTGAAGTTGAAGTTGGCCTCCGAAGTGAAACGATTAGAATATTAATCCCTCGGACAGCCCCGGCTGGCTTCCAGTCCACTGCGAAGTGAGCATTGAAGGTAATCATAATCTGAGGTATACGGTGGCCGTTACGCGCCAGCTTCATTTGACGTGCCAATCACGGCCAGGCAGATGCAGTTGCTTCTACATTATCTTGAAGAGAACTAGATTGAATAATTGTATCGGGCCCTCTAAATATAGTCTTGGATGAGCCCCTCGGCAAAGTTGGACTCTCCAAAGCGGAGAATAAAGTTACTAGGAAGGGGCCCGCCCCCGGGGTGCCCCCTCGACGTCCCAGGGCCTCCCCGAAAACCCCGAGGGCCCATGCGCGTCGTCGGGGGGTCTCGTTGATGATCAATTTCGTGGGAAAAACTTCCGTTTAGGGAGCGCCCTTGTCCGTTTACTGCCGCCAGAGGGCCTGGAGGGGACTGGGGGGATATGGAAAGCATCGATAAACCCGAGGGCCCTTTGCCACTACATGACTGCATATTTTGCACCATGTGATGGCATCATCGGTGATCATGTACCCAAGCCCAGGCCCATTTACGTTTGGGGGAAAAGGAAAGGAGCAAGAGGGCCTCTCCAAAAACCACGAGGGCCCCTAGAGGAGATTGATGGGATGATGAAATCGAAAAAAAAAAGTGTGAAAATATTCTGTTTTGGGTGTGCCCTTGTCTGTTTACTATGCGCCTGCCCCTATCTGGAGAGCCCAGAGGGTGTTCGAGGGCTGCAAAAAGTGTTGGGAGACCTGAGGGCTCTCTACGACTCTGACCGCACATTATGAATCCCCTCTGTCTTAGCTTAAGCTGAGAGCGTCTCAACAGAAAAATCTTAAGCTGTAATCTAAGCTGAGCCGGCTTAAGCTGAATAAAATAGTCTATATACAGTAGACATGCACTACAAGAATGGTCCCGCTTAAGCCAGCTCAAAAACTGCCGTCGACGTCGCTCTCAGCATCTAAATTAAATCAGCTTATATGTAGCACCAAGCTCAGGCCAGCTCAGCTCAAAACCCAGGTGACCCAGCATCTAGCTTGAGCCAGCTCAAGCAGTCAGCTCAGAATTTTTTCAACTGGATACACTGCATTCCGCGGGCCCGTAGGCCAAGGGTTTGCCTACCCCCGTAGGCAGACGTAGGCAAACCTGGAAGGAGACCAGGTTTGCCTACGTGGGTTTACATTGGTTATACTGTCCTTGCCGCAGATTTCACTTGTTTCGCAAAGTTTTTGCCAGGTTTTGCCACCGGTTTCAATGTCGGAGACACAGTCCGATCACAGTGATGCGTCGGCATGTTTGGGCAAAGTTTAAATTAAATTTAGTAGCCGATGTTTGACATTCAGAATCATTCTATCGTCGGTCCTGGTGCAGTGTCCGGCATGTCATTGTATGTTAGCTCTATAGAGATGATCTGGATGCTACAAACTGTGGGTACGTTGCTTACCCGTTCTCAGAAAGTACAACAAAATGCTCACATTAAAACCATTTATTAAAATCCGCGGTCTATTATAAGCCGTTGCTAAGATCGGCTAAGATATAAGCGGAAGGATAATTTTGGACATTATGTATCATAACGACGCATGCGAAACCATGAAGCCGCAGATAGGCAGAGGAGAAGCCGACCAAGGTAGGCAGACGTAGGCAAGGGGTAGGCACAAGTAGGCCAAGTTGAGGTCGACAAACTGTGCCTACCCCCTTTTAGCCACGTAGGCCGACGTAGACCGATGTAGACCCAAATAGACAAAGTTGGCCTACAGGGCCAGGGAATGCAGTGATAGCCCCGAGCCTCAAGTACGCATATCCGCTTCCCACAGTTCCGGTCTCCAGCCCGGCGCAGGTGGAAAAAGCGACTTCAGAATTACGACGCCACTGGCAACGCTGCTCAATTTGAAGCTCGAAGGCAGAGCCGAGTGGCATAATGTTGGCACCGTGCGTGTCCGCAGTGTCGGAGACAGTGTTAACCCACGCCAGCATTTAAACCGGTTCTATGACTATGATAAAAATTTAGAGGATACAAAGAAGCAGGCCTGCAGCGCTGGGGAGTGAGATGGCCGTCAAGACCAAGGAGCGAAACAAGAGGCATTTGTTTGGACCTTTTTGTGATCGAGCACACTGATGATGGATTGATTGATGGCAGCCAAACAAATCTTTGTCTCTTCCTCTTGCCACAACGACGCACCAAGTCAACAAATTTTCAAAGGAACAGCGCTCCGAATCCTCCATGTATCGGTCTCCTCGACTGATGTTTCTTTCACACAAGGCCCAAGCGGACGGTAGAACTCGCGCACTTGAATGCCACTTGACCATGTTGTGTAGTATGTCTTACCTCTTTCTCCTCTCGGTGTACTAACTATATATTCTCCTTCGGATTTCTGTCTAGAGGCGCTTGTTCATCCCTCCTCTTCGCATACCACCAGAGGCCACCTCGAATTGCGGTGCCACTCACATTTCACCTGTGTATTCTGCAACACATTCGAGACTATCGCCGCTGCCATCTGGAGGTATCGATAACCTGCTCCAGTGTCGTAGGTTGAGTCATCTTAAACTGGGTGCTGCCTGGAGTGGCAGTTCTTGAGCTGCGATTAGGCATTGAGCTGATTTTGAGCCGACTTGAGCGGGGCTAATGTTGTCTATATTACGTTGTATATATAAGCCCAATTCAGCTTAAGTTTCAGCTTAAGATATCTCAGTTGAAACATCCGCAGCTTGAGCTAGGCTGGAGGGGTGACAGGCACATTTTGCATTCAATGATGGCATAACCAATGATCATGTGACCAACCCTGGCCTGTTTGCATTTGGAGAAAAAGAAACAAGTCCAGAGGGCCTCTTATGGGGACTAGCAGCTAGTGCCAAACAAATGTCTGTTTGCCCCTTGTTTGTTTCCCTCGCGACGTCGCTGCAGCCCTCCACGGTCACTCTAAAAATTCAAACTCAATTGTATCCCCATTGGGGATGCATATCCAGGTATTCTGCACGGCAGAATTTTAAAATCTGCGCAGAAACCTTATGGAATTTGGGTCTCAAACACAGGAAAAAACGTAAAATAATGCATGACGGGCTGACAAATCAGAAAATAAAATTG